CCAGTGCCTCCCAGTACATCCCAGTGCCTCCCAGTGCCTCCCAGTGCATCCCAGTGCCTCCCAGTACATCCCAGTACATCCCAGTACCTCCCAGTTCCCCCCCAGGCGACTCCGGAGGCCCCGTCGTTGTCACGTGGGGGAAGCGCCACTTCCAGGTCAGTGGGACACCGGGGGGGGGGGGGGGGGGGGAAACGGGGGGGAATGGGGGGGGATAGGGGGGGGGGCACTGGGCAAACTGGTTATGGGGCTGACTCAGGTGGGGGCCCTGGTCCCTGTGTGACCCCCCTGACCCCTGTGTGACCCCTTGACCCCCGTCTGACCCCCCTGACCCCTGTGTGACCCCCCTGACCACTGTGTGACCCCCCTGACCCCTGTGTGACCCCCCTGACCCCCATGTGACCCCCATGTGCCCCCTCCAGGTGGGCGTGGTCAGCTGGGGTGTGGTCCCTGACCCCTGTGTGACCCCCTGACCCCCGTGTGCCCCCTCCAGGTGGGCGTGGTCAGCTGGGGCGTGGTCCCTGACCCCCCCTGACCCCTGTGTGCCCCCCCGGGCCCCCCCGGCCCCCCCCTGACCCCTGTGTGACCCCCTGACCCCCGTGTGCCCCCTCCAGGTGGGCGTGGTCAGCTGGGGCGTGGTCCCCGTGTGCCACGAGCGCCGGGCCCCGTCCTACGCCCGCGACTTCCACGTGAGCCTGTTCGAGGTGCTGCCCTGGCTGAGGGAGAAGCTGCAGGACGAGGACCTGGGCTTCCTGCCCTGAGCCCTGGGGACACGCCAGCACACGCTGGGACACGCCAGAACACGCCAGCACACGCCAGGACACGCAGGGACACGCCAGGGACACGCCACGGCCACGCGACCCCACAGGGGTGGGATGTTGGTGGGGGGGATCAGAGGGGGCTGTGGGGACGATTTCAGGGGTTCCTCTGGGTCTGGGGGGGTCCCAGTCCCTCCCCCCCGGGTGCCAATAAACGTGGCCACGTCCCCCTTGACCCTTTATTGCCCCCCCCCCAGTGGCCCCCGGGGGTCCCTCACTGGCCCCCGAAAAGGTCCTCGTTGTACACGACCTGCGAGCGCTTGTCGCGGTGGGAGCCCTTGGCGCTGTTCTTCACGGCTGGGGGGGGACAAAAGGGGGGTCAGGGATGTTGGGGGGA